CATGTAGTGGCATGGATGTCACTGCATGTAGCTCTAGGGTTTGGGCTTTAGGGCTTGTGTGTAAAAACCTGGCTTTAGGAGCTATCCATTTGTGTAAGTTTCTGCTGACGGTGCTGTTTGCGTTCATCACTCGCCCCTAAACCCTAAACCCTGAAGTTCATCACTCGCAGGCAGCAGACGTTTACCGTCGTTTTTGATACCGGAGCCTTGGCTGGCGACAGAAATAGGACTCAGTTAGCAGCTCATGGAGATCCGAGTTTTAGGGTTTAGGGTTCAGGGTTTAGGGGTTTAGGGTTTAGGGTTTAGGGTTTAGTTCTATTTAGGGTGTACGATCTACATACTTGCTTCTATCTACGCTTGACTCCGATGCCGACACTGGTCGTTGTGCTCAGTTTGCAATGCAGGGCACGAGAGCAGCCTGTGATGCGAATTGTCCTGGCATCCCCTTTTTACTTCTAGGTTAGGAGTTTGGGGTTTAGAGTTTAGGGGTTTGGGGTTTAGGGGTAAGGGGTTCGGGGGTTACGGTTTAGGGTATAGGCTTGTGGCTTGTGGGCAGATCCTGGAGACAGTGTAGCTGAAGTCTGAAACACCGCATCACGGCTGCGAGGTAGCGCTCATCTCTTCGTGCCCTCCGCGACCTGTAACACGGAGACTTGCGCCTCAGCTAAACCCTAGACCCTAAACCCTAAACCCTGGACCCTAAACCCTGAACCCTGAACCCTGAACCCTAAACTCAAGGCTTAGGCTAGATTCCAGACCTCGCGACTGGAAGTGGACACTGGTGAACCCTAGATCCTAAACCCTAAACCCTAAACTCTAAACTCCTAAACCCTAAACCCTAAACCCTAAACTCCTAAACCCTAAGCCCTAAACGCCTAAGCCCTAAACCCTAAATCTTGAATCCTAAGTTCTGGAATAGGAAGTGCAGTAATTGCAGACCCGAACACGTAGTCCAGGTACACGCCACCGTCGCTTCTACCGCGCCTGCCTCGGATTCTTAGATTCGTGAACCAGATCGAGAGCTTTAGATTTTAGAGTTTAGGGGCTCAGGGACTAGGGTTTAAGCCTAAGACACTAGGGTTTGGGGATTCGGGTTTAAGGTCTGGCGCGGTTGACATGTCAGGAGGGTTGCGATTAGAATGCTAAAATCACGGAGCGAACTTCGAGCCTTCATCCTAAACCCTACACCCTAAATCCTAAACCCTAAATCCTAAACCCTAAATCCTAAACCCTAAACCCTAAACCCTAAATCCTAAACCCTAAATCCTAAACCCTAAACCCTATAGAACCTCAGTACACCCCAAACCCTATCGTCAGGTAACGAGTCGGGCACGGCAGTTGACATCGACCACGATGGCAATCCAGCTCCTGGGCTCGGTTTAAATGATCAGATGTCTTGAGTTTAGAGTTTAGAGTTTACGGTTTTGGCGTTTGGGTTTTTGGGGTTTTGGGTTTTGGGTTTTTGGGTTTTTGGGTTTAGGGTTTTGGATTTTGAGTTTTGGGTCTGGGGTTTAGGGACTCGAGCACTGGCGCCGGATCGTTTGAACTGCTTATCGGCTTTGTTTCTCTACCTGCACCACCGAAGGTCAAGAAGAACTCGACTCGCCGCGATCAGGTGCACGGGTAGGGTCGCAGAAACGGGGTACAGAGATGGCTTGCTGGCACAGCTGTATCTAGGACATCTTCAGAAGATAGATAACGAGATGGCTAGGCCTGCTTCTGGGAGAATCACCGGGGTTAACGCTACCACAGTCTCCGAGTCGGACCTAAACCCTAAGCCCTCCGAGACACCTAAACCCTGAACCCTAAACCCTAAGCCATCCCTAAACCCTAAACCCTAAAACCCTAAACCCTAAACCCTAAACCCCAAACCCTAAACCCTAAAACCCTAAACCCTAAACCATCCCTAAACCCTAAACCCTCCAACCAGGTGAACATCGCTTTTGGAACCGGCGAGGCCCACCAGACTGCCGTTCGTCCTTGGATATTCCCACTGGGGGGGGTCTTCAGTTGGAGCTTCGAAGCGTTTGTGGAGAGAGCATACGGTTTAGGGATGGTTAGCTTTTAGTGTTGTGAATTTTAGGGGCCTAAATAATTACCAGTATCTTATAGTCATAGCACGATATACTCCAAAACCCTATTCAAATAATAAGGCCCCTATAGTAGTAGGGTCTTGTCGCAGGGTTTTCGGAGTGACATTCGCTGTGTTCCTTAACAGCACCTCACTCGCATCGCTCTCGTTTGACGATGTTGCTCTGTTCCCTGTTAGGAGGACACCGTACTCTGCTGTGTCGCAGCAGTCTTCCATCAAACTCATTGGTTTGGCCCGTCCAGGAACTTGCCGACCACCATGCAAAGTCAGTGGGGATGGTATACAAACTGCCCCAGGACAAGTTCTACCCCCCTGCACACGCCGCAGCCTGTCTCAGACCGGTCTACTCGTCTGATCTAGGACATTTTCAGGTGGGTAGTTACCGTTGTAGGAGCCTTATAGAAGGTTGTTGCTGTTCAGGAAGGTCCTGAG